CTAGGTCACCTGTCCTCTGTGGTGCATGCCCAACCAGCCCAAAGGAGGTCTAGCAATCCCCACCTGCTGATGCTGCAAAATGCTGATGCTGCACCAGCAGGTGACCATGTTTCTCTGTCCCTCATTTAGGCTCAGCCAAGCCCTCTGACCAAGTACACCTTCATCAAGTACACCAGCACACAATGCTGGTAGGGCTGTGGATGTAAGCAGCCTCAGAGGACAGACACTAGTGGCTGAGCTCCACACAGCACTGCTTGGGATGGGCAGTGTGGCCTTCTCTCTGCTCTTCCTGCCCCAGCTGACCCTGACTAGACAGCTTCCCCTTTGGCTTGGTGCCCACCCCAGGCCCCTTTCTTCTGGTACACTAGGAGTCACAGCACATTGATGGCCATACGTAACACACCTGTCTGTCTCCTGTGCCAGACAGGATGCTGTTCTCTGGTCCCTGGGTTTGGAGCACAGGATTAGCTCAGGAGAAATTATTAGTAATTTTGCAATTCTCCTAAGAGCAAGCTCCCTGCTGCCTTACCTAGCTCCATTCCTCATCAGACCCACTCCATTTCCCAATATTTGTCACAGCCCTTCTTTAAAAAAAATAATAATAACGAAAAAAATATTTATCTGCTTCATTATTTTATGTGTAAGAGTGTTTTGCCTCCATAGATGTATGTGTACTGTGTACATGGGCAGCTAGAAGTGGATGCCAGATCCCCTGAAACAAGTTACAGATAGTTGGGAGCCACTAGGTGGTAGAAGGGCATCAGCCTGGGTCCCCTGCAAGAGCAGCCAGTGCTCTGAACCACTGAGCCATCAGTCCTTGGCACAGCCCTTTTGTCCTTGTTCTGGTTCTGAGATGTCTGTGTTGCTCTAACTCAGTTCTGTACTGTAGGAGTCTGGAGCCTGTTACTAGTCTGTCACACACCTACTTTTCCCCTCCTCATGCTTCTTGTTCCTGCCTGCCTTTATCACCTGTCTGTCCTACCACTAAAAGGCACAGCCTTCTAATACATGGGTATCCTGGTGCTATTCACATGTCTGTGATCAGCAGCTCTCTGCTATTCTGTAGATACAACCAAAGACTAGGGCCCAGTGGAGTGGGTACAAGGGGAAAGGACATGAACATGCAGAGATTGGCAGATTGGCTGGGAGGACTTTAGAGTGCTTCCAACATGAGGTCATACAGGCTTAGAACTTAAAACTCGTTTAAGAGGTCATGGGATACAGTGCTTGCCATATTCTGTGCATGGCAGAGACCAGGCTGGGGCTCGTTCAACGAGGAACTGTAAGGATGGTAGGGACAACAATCATTTTCCTGTGCTAAGTGGTTAAGAAATCCCTATTTCCACATGCCCACGCAGTGAGGTGATGCAATGCTGGGAACACCGGGAGAGCATCAGGAGTTCTGGTGGTTTCTGTCCTCTGAATGTGGCTGTGTAGGAAGAACTAGGCTCTGATTCTTTATGTCCTGATTGCCACTGCTAGGTCTCATGATGTCCAAATGAGGACAGGTTTGAGAGCTCACCAGGTCTGGTTGGCTGGGAAGATAAAATAGCCTTTTCTGACTCTGAGAACAACTGCTGGGGATATATTCCAGGAATCCGGGCAGGCCACAGTGGAAGGACATTTATTTGCTCATAGTTCTACCAGGCCTACACTTAGTCCCAAATTTTGAAATCTGACCACAGCAGAGCCAGACCTTTCTAGTCCACACCTGGGACTCATGCAATGGTCCCAAGTTCTGTCCTAATACTACTGGGTGGCTTCCCTGGAGCACGGGAAAACTGTAGGCAGCCAGGAAATCAAGGACCTGAAGCTGTAACGTAATGTAAAGGTCTGATAATGTAAATGCTGTTAAGTGTTGGCAACTGAAGATGGCAGCAGGACCTTTCATGAGCCTCAAGAAGCTGCACCTCTCGAGCACTTGAGGCTGCCACAGCAGGGTGAAGCTGACACTTGGTACCTGGCTGCTAGGAGCAGCAAAGGGCACTTGCATGTACACATTCTGAAAGTGAGTTCCCGCTCAACTACTGGCTTGTGGATGGATCCTGTGTGTCAGTGTCACTCCCAGGCCTAGACAACGTTACCAGGTATCACAGGACCTCAGCTTGACTCTGGGGAGCTAGGCCACCTTACATTGGCTCTGAGGCCTGCTGGCCTTGGCTCCACACAGGGTGAATGGACATCCTGGCTGCACCTACAAGTAGGCTTCTTTCAGGAATGGTGAGGCAGAGCTACTTGGCCAATGGGCTGCTGGAGAAGTCACAGCAGCTCCTGCCTGCTTAGCTTATCAAGTGCTTGGGCTGAGGGGGACATACCCTTTTGAGTGTGCCTCATCCCCCTCCCTCCCTTTCTAAAAACATTTTGATTATTTTATGTGTTTGGGTGTACTGCCTGCAAGCATGTCTGCATGCCCCTTACAGTCTCAGTGCTCACAGAGAGTGCTGGATACCCTTGGGATTGAAGCTACTTCTCTTCAGCTCTCTTTGCTCTTGCTCATACTTACAGGAAAGCTGATTCTTGGCATGTCTGGTAAACCTAGCTGAGTAAAAAAACCTACTAACAAACTTCCTGAATTGCCATGTCTCTGTAAAAAGCCCTTTGTTCTTGCTTTTCCTAAGCATTCCAGTTTCCAATGAAGTCTCTTTCCATTGTAAGCAAGGAAGCAGACAAAAATGTAAGACCAGAGGGAAGGCTGAACATACTGGTTATCCTACCTGAAGGCATAGGTCTTCTGGTGCCAGCTCAGTTGTCCCCGAATGCTGTATGCAATGGTGGTGACAAACTCCCCACCTAACCCCAGCTCTGAGCACAGCTTCAGGGCAAACTTCTCAGGGGAGTTCTCCTTCTCTGACATGTCCCATTCGAACTGGTCCACCAGGGAGATGTTTCCCACATGGATGTTCAGCTGTGGCAGAAACCAATAAGCACAAGTGAGAGCTGGAAGGATTATTGTCAGCCCAGGAATGCTGTGAGGCGGTGGGGACAAAGCATTCTCAACTGCCAGGTCTGAGGAAATTGTGCCTATGACTCAGGAGCTAAGTGCCATGGCTGGCCCTGGTATCTAGTTTCTTGTTTACAAAAGAGGATCAAACCCACAAATCTCTCAGGTAGTCACTAGACACTGAGATTCTGGGCACCTGATTCCACCTTAACCCCTCTTCTCATTACCCTTGTATCCCATGCTGAGCCAGTGTCTTCCTTGTCCTTTACACCTGTGGCAATCAATCGTTATGTAGCCATGCTGGATACGTACAGCGCAGCTTACATGCCACTCTTCAGAGACTGTTCTTGAGCCTGTTTTAGCCACTGTCTATTCCCTAATGTCACTGCTTTAGAATCATCTTGCCTGGCAACTCACAGGTACACTGCCTTATCTACTCCTTACCCTTTAGAAAGACACGCCTATTCTCTGTGGAAGGAAAACACAAACTCCACAAAGCTGTCCTCTCAACTCCACACATTCATCACAGTAGGCAGGCATGTGCGGCACTCGTGCGCGCGCATACACCAATAGTAGTTAAAAAAACAAATCAACACAGTAAGACACATGCATCCTAGCACACACACTAATAATAAAGCTAGAAAAGATTAAACACAGTAAAATGCACCCATTAGGATGGTATTATCAAACAAGGGAGGAAGGGAGAGAGAAATGAAGGAAAGAAGGGAGGGAGGGAAGTAGGGAGGGAGGCAGGCAGGCAGTAACAACTTTTGGTGACTATGGGGAAAAACTGGAACCACAGTGAATTGTTAGGGGGAATGTAAAATGGTGTAACTGCTGTGCAAGTTTGGTAGGTCCTCAAAATACTAAATAGCCAAGTGACCTAGGAATTTTAACTTGTGAGTAGAAACCCCAAAGAACTGAAAGCAGGAATACAAACAGGTATGCAAATCCTATTTCTGGCCCAGCCCAGAAGGATATTGCATTGATGCTATGCACCTCACTGTAGCCTTTCATACTCTGCCCACCAGCTGCTTTCACCTTCTAAGGTGGGGTTTACTGACTCAGGGCCCGGTGGAGATATAGCAGCACTGGCTGTCCTACCCACAATGTGACACTACTCTGAAAAGTCAGCCCATCCACTCCTGAGGACATAGTCAGGCTGTCCCTGAAGGATGTCTTCCCAGAAACTACATCCCACAGCAAGCACCCTGCAGGATTCCACCAAGGGCTGAGTGTCTTCTTAGCACCTACCTTGATGATGACGCGCTGGTCAGATTGATCCTCCAAGATGCTGTCTGTGGGGTAGGACTCAATCTGCTGTCTAATGGCAGAGGCAATAGCTGGCACGAAAGTCAGTGGATTCAAATCCAGGTCATCACAAAGGATTTCTGAAAACATCTCAGGGGTCATTAGCTTCTCTGAAATTAGAAAATGCAAACGTTCCAACCTGTTTGTAGTGCCTCATTTCATGGTGCTCACACCTGTCCAGACTTCTCCCATCCCCTCCTCCTTTGTCAAACCTCCCCTCATGCAGATGTGCATGACTGGGCAACTGAACCTGGCCTTCCCAGATGCTCACAACAGCAGAGGATGAAGTGTCCTCTTCCTTCTAGGCTCCAGGCCCTGCCCGAGGGAATCTTTCCACGGGTCACATCCTATGAAACTAGAGTGCATTCTTAGAACCAAATCTGGGTAGTCAAGACTCCCTCTATTTGACCCATTCTTTTGCAGCCATGCCTACTTGCCTCCAGTCACCCTTCATCTGTGGTATCTGTTTCTGTAATCTAAGCATTTGAGAAACTGGAATCATACCCTATGCAACTTTGGGAATAACTTTTTCCTAGTCAGAAAAATTCTTCACAGAAGCTAGCCATGGTGGTACATGCCTTTAATCCAAGCACTTGGGAGGCAGAGTCAGGTGGATCTCTGATTTTAAGGCTAGCCTGGTCTACACAGTGAGTTCTAAGCCAGCCAAGGCTATACAGTGACATTGTGTTTCAAAAAACTAAACAAAATTTCCTCAGAAATTCACACAGGTTGTTACTTCCTTTTTATTGCTAATTAGCATTCTACAGAGGATTCACATTTTGTTTAACTATTCACCCACCGAAGGGCACATAGGCTTCTGATTTCTGGTATTACGCACAGAGCTGCCACCAGTCTCCACACCCAGGTTTCAGTGTAAACAGATGTCTTCAGAACTTCCCGGGACGCACTCCCTCCTCAGCAGCTGCTCACTCACACTGCAGCCCCGGTTAGTTCAACTGTTTTCCAGAGCAGCTTAGACCTCTGCATCTCCACCGGTGTGGGAGGGACTCAGGTCTTTCACATCTCACCACCATTAATTGGCATTGTCACTAGTTTTAATTTGCATTTCTCAAATGGTTTATTAATAAAGCAGAATACCTTTCCGATGTTTATTTCCATCTATGCATCCTTAGTGAAATGTCTTTTCACATCTCCTGTCCTAAGATATCTTCTCAGATATATTTATGTGTGGGTGTTCTGTTTGAATATGTCTGTGTATCCCTTGCATACCTGGTGCCTGCAGAGGCCAAAAGGCATCAGATGCCCTTGAAATGGAGTTACAGACCACTGTGAGCTCCTATGTGGGTGCTAGGAATTGAACCTGGGTCCTTTGGAATAGCAGCCAGCTTTCTTAACCTCTGAGCCATCTCTGAAGCCTGTGTTCTTATTCTAATTATACTGTTTGCTTTTTTGAGTTTTCACAATTTGTTCTTTCAGAATTTCATACAAACTTCCTTCCCTGTGATCTTTTTCTTTTTAGAGACAGGGTCTCACTGTGCAGCCCTCCCTGGCTTGCCTGTACCTTGCTATGTAGACTTTGAGCTCGGAGATTAGCCTGCTTCTGTGCTCTGGGAACTGGGATCACAGGACTGTCTTCTTTTTCACTCTTCTGACAGGGCCTTTTCCAGAGCAAAGTTGTGATGACATCTAAATTTTAGTATTTTCTATTCTGAACTGTGCTGCTGGTGTCTAAGATCCTTTGTCTAGCCCTAAACACCCAAGATTTTCTTATTCCTTCCCTCAACAAGTTTATTAATTTTGTGGGTTTTTCTGTTGTGTTATTGTTGTTTGTTTTGGTTTCGCAAGACAGTGTTTCTCTGCGTAGCCTTGGCTGTCCTGGCTTTGTACAATAGGCTAGCCTTGAACTCACAGGGATCAGCCTGCCTCCCTGAGTTGCTGGGATTACAGGTGTGTGCCACCACACTCAGCTCCAGTTTTATGTTTTATATACTTTAAGTCTATGATTCTTTCAGAGTTTAGTATTAGGTATGAGATTAGGTCAAGGTTTATTATCCTTGGATATTCAATTGCTTTGGCATCATTTTGTCTGAGGGACTATCTTTTCTCTAATCAATTGCATTTGTGTTTGTTTGTTTTTTTTGGGTCAAAATCAGTAGGGCTAGGAAAGGGGTGAAGGTAGAGACATGAGTTGGCCTTGTGACTTTAGAAACAAAGCTGAAGGTAAGCTGTGGGGAGGCAGCTGGACTGGGTCTGAGCAATACCTTGGTCATCAACAGAATCAGATACTTGCCATGCCAAGCTCCTAGAGCAGTGCTTCTCAACCTTCCTAATGCTGTGACCCTTTAATATAGTTCCTCATGTTGTGGTGACCCCTAGATATAAAATTATTTCATTGTTAATTCATGACTAATTTTGCTACTGTTATGAATTGTAATGCAATATCTGTGTTTTCCAATACTATTAGGCAACCCTGTGAAAGGATTGTTCAATCACCAAAGGGGTTGTGACTCACAGGTTGAGAACCACTACCCTAGAGCTAACTAACTCACAGGAGGGTGGAGCCTGAAACGCACATACTGCCGTCACTGGTTTGTGTTTATGTTCTGTTGTTTTTTTGTTAGAGCCTTACAAATGTAGCCCAGGCTGACCATGATTGCACGGCCCTCCTGCTTCCACTTTCCAAGTGCTACAACTACAAGTACACAGTGCTTGATTTCAGAAATGCACTTTTTTTCTTTGTTTTATTTTGGGAGCCTAGGTCTTACTATGTAGACCTAGCTGTCCTGAGACCAGGATGGCCTCAAAATCATAGAGATCTGCCTGTCTCTGACTCCCAGTACTGTGACTGAGGACATACCTACCACCTTTGGGCTCCAGTTTTATTTTTAAATAAACACAAAATATTGTTTCCCCATGGCTTTTTCATATATCCTACGTGTTGTTGACTCTCTTCCCTTGCTGTTTTTTCCATGCTGATATACTTTTTTCATTCACATTGCTGATTTTCACAAATTATTTTCCTTTATCTTCTCTGTTGCTATATGGATTAAGCCAGTCAATAGAGCCACATACCACTACATATGTATTTATTTATTGAGAACTGTAAGCTTAAGGTAGTACAGACAGGCACTGCCTTCTCTAATGAGTTCTCATTCAGTTGCTACAGGGCCAACTGTCATTAAATGTGTCCTTATTTTGTCCCACATTAACATCTACTTTCTGCCATGAGTGGAGGCACTGTGAGGCCTCAACAGAAGAAAACCTTATTTAGCAGTTGAATCTTGGACGTCCCATCCTTCAGAGACACACATCAGAGTGCGTCTCTTATGTTTACTTATGAATCACCCAGGTTTGGGTATCCTGTTATAGCAAAAGAAAACTAACTAAGACACATGCCCAGTCCACAAGGAACAGGGCACATGACAGAACAAACCCAGAGTTTACAACCTTAAAAACCATGCCACAAGGCTGCAAATGTCAAGTCTAGAATCAGCCTGAGAGGCAGCAGGTGGGAAAGTGGGCATTTTCACATAAGGCCATGGCAAACTGACTACCCACATACCATTCATGTTCCAGGTAAAAGCATCCCGCAGCTTCTGCCCATCTATCTCCATGTCCAGTCGGATGGGTACCAGCACTTCAGGCTGTGATGCATTCTCATGGATCACAGCCGGATCGTGGTCATCAAAGCTGAAAGTGACACAGTAGCAGCTGTCAGTCAGAGCTCCAGGGTTCCCTGTGTCTAGGTCCCCAGGAACACAAGTTTCCAGCTTCCCTCTGCACTCTGGGTCACTGTAAACACGGTTGGAAGGGAAAGGCCATTTCTTCCAGGCATCGAACACTGAGGAAGCGTAGAAGAGGTTGTCAGGGGGTTCCCAAGGCCCATCTAATGGGAGTACAGAGGAGCATAAACAAGCTCAAACATGTCTACGGTTAAGTTCTGCATCAGGGCAGACCAGTATGCTTCATAAGCACATGAGAAGAACCAGGAAACTGCTGCCCTGGAAGGAAAAAAAAACGATACATGCTAGCAGGGTCTAGAAGTTCATGTCTGTAATCCCAGCACTGGGGAGGCTGACCCAGGAGAACTGCCAGGAGTCTGAGGTCATTGTGGGATACAGAGTAGATCTTGTTTAAAAAATCAAACAAAACCCACCCCTTCCTCTTAAAGCTCAGACAGTATCTCTGAAGATAGGGTGGAAAACACTAAGAGCCACAGGTCAACACTTACAGGGAAGAGGGGGGAGGGAACTGTGAAAGGGAAAGTGTCTTCAACACTCAAAAGGTTCACTACACTCAGGAACTCACAGCAGCTTCGAAAAATCAAGCCAGCGTTCTAGCAGGAGTTGGGGAGGGCACTAAATTTCAAGTGTTCTTCTAAGAAATCCAGAGGGAGCTTTCGCACATGGAGGAGCCCATCACAGGGGCAGAGACTGGAATGATGTGGCTGTGACTCTAAGCTAGAGAACATACAGCCACTGAAGCTGAAAGGGGTGAACACCAGATCCTCCCCAACCCCCAACCCCAGCCTCTGAAGGGAGCAATGACCCTCCCAAACCTTGATCAGGCCTATGCACCTGTGTCAGACTCCTGATTTCTGTATTGTTGTAAACCACTACAGTGGTTTCAGCAGCCATTGAGAACTGACCTGGTAAGAGTCATGTGGAAACCATCTGAAACCCTCCAGACAGGCTGTGGGGTATCAAATGTACCATGCACCAGGGAAAGGCCCACACCCCCAAAAGGTGTGGGTGCTACAGAAGGGGAAAACTCGAGAGACACACCAGGCACCCAGGGAGGATGGGAAAAGCCAAGAATGACATTCTGAAGAGAACAGCATCAGAGGCAGTGGCTGGGTAACATTTGTGAAAACACAGGGTCACTGATGAGTGCCTCTCTGGGAACCAGACTACAGAGCACTGGGGAAAGGGGGAAATGTGCAGAGCCGAGCACAGCAGTGCTTACTCACCACAAGGGGAAAGTTCTCTTCTTGTCCCGACCCATGCGGTTCCTGTTGATCGTAGTGGAGCATGGCACAGCATCCAGATGGTGGGAGCTGTTGGGCAGGGTGGGGACCCATTGGCTGTTTCTCTTGGCCTTCTGTTCCCTGAAGAGACAGAGAAGAAAGTGACCCTGTCAAAGCAGGAATCAGATTCTGCTCACTGGGAACCTACCCATGTTCAGTGGGCACTACTGTGTCCCTGGCAGGCTCCCAGATCGTGTGGAGAACATGTTACACTGGGATACTCTTCCTGGCACCTAGAGGTACCTGTGTGAGAAGGGCACAGACATATTAGACACAGAGTAGAGCATGGTGGTGCAGCTTTTAACCCCAGTACTCAGGAGGTACAGGTACTGAGTGGTAGAGGAATTTTTTTTTTAAAAGATTTATTTATTTTGGGGGCTGGAGAGATGGCTCAGCGGTTAAGAGCACTGGCTGTTCTTCCAGAGGACCTGAGTTCAATTCTAGCAACCACACGGTGGCTCACAACCATCTATAATGAAATCTGATTCCCTCTTCTGCTGTGTACCAAAACAGTATTCATATACATAAATAAATATATTAAAAAAAATATATATTTATTTATTTTATTATGTATACAATGTCCTGCCTGAATGTACACCTGAATGCCAGAAGAGGGCATCAGATCTCATTATAGATGGTTGTGACCACGTGGTTGCTGGGAATTGAACTCAGAACTCAGGACCTCTGGAAGAGCAAGCAGTACTTTTAACCTCTGAGCCATCTCTCTAGCCTGATAGAGGAATTTTTGAGTTCCAGGGAAGCCAGGGTTGAGGCAGAGTGAAATCTCGACAGACGCCCCCACCCCCTTTTATTTTTGAGGGGAAAACAATCTAGGGCACTTAACACCTTTAATGCTAAGGTCTAGGGCTACCCTCTGGGCAAGGGTGGAGGCAGGGGCAGAGGACCATATGGTCTGAAACACTGCAGGTCTAGCTCGGCCCTTACGATCTACTCCCACCTTTGAGACCTGGGACATAACCCCAGGAACTGAGGACTAATTTGCACACAGCTTAACAGCTGGCACAGCCGACCAGTTTCCATCTCAGCCTATGTGAACAAATGGTTCATGAAGAGTATAAAATTTTAAGTAGCAAATTCCTAAGCCCCACCCAGATTTAGTGTCCATCTCTGGAGGGGGCAGGCTTTCTTTGCACCTTCTAGACAATTCTAGCGCAGCTGCGCCTGCATTTGGAAACTGCGTATCTTTAGCACTCACCTCTTCTGTGCTGACCCCACCCCTTACCCTGAAATCCTGCCCTATCTCCAATCTTTCCCAAGAATCCCAAGACGGGACAAATATCTAGTGACAGGAGGGGTAGGCTTCCAGGCCCTTTGTCAGGCCGACTGAGCAGTGTAGCTGCTTGCTTCAAACCTTGGACACCGCCTTCCTTGTTGTTTGGCTTCAAGGCAAAAGGAATCTACTCCCTCAGCTGGTCCTCATATGACACAATCAAGAAACTGTTTACCACTCTATAAAGGGCCCCCAGCTGACATGTGCAAACATAAAAGTGTCAGCCATATGTACATAATTTCCTTCTGTGACTTCCTGGGAAGGTCTAACTATCCTTATGTTCTTACCACATCCCTTGGGGGGAAAAAGAATCTGCTGAGCACACGTCTACAAAGCTCACAGGATTGGATGTACGCCACCCTCTCTGGAGGCTGAGGGGGACCAGAAAAGCAATCGAACAACAGAGATGAAGAAAAGTCTAGATGGAAATAATTCCCACAACCACATCAGTCTGAACAGTACCTTCCTCCCTCAGGACTCTCAGGCTCTGTACATTAAAACTTTCTTTTCTCTCTGCTTCTTGATAAGGTCTCACTATTAGCCCACAGAGGCCTTAAAACCAACACCCTCCTGCTTTCACTTCAAAATTCTGTGATTACAGGTGTGTGCCAAACTATTTTTTTTTTTTTAAGCTTTGAATGTTTAAAATGACATGAGTGACTGGGGATGTAGCTCAACAGGAAAGCATGGACATGATTAGCAAAGGCGGCCCAGATCCATTCTCAGCCACATCCCTACTACAAGATTACAGAGAAGACAAACATTCCTCCTTTGTTTACCTCTTGTATTGCTAGATATGGACTGCTTGTTTCTCGTATTCCATGGTCTGGGGTGCAGCTCAGAGGTGGAACACAAGCTCATGGACTCCTTGGTTTGATCCTAGCATCACTTACTCACCAAATCTACTGGAGTTTGCAGTTAACTTTTAAGTCTAGATGGGTAGACACTAGATACAACACAGTGCGTTTTTAATTATTTGCCATGTTGTTGAACAAATACTTTCATAAAAGTTCTGTTCTAGGCCGGGGAGATGGTTCAGTAGGTAAATGCACTTGTGTTGCAAGTGTGGTGATCTGAGCACATGTAAACACAGGGGGAGCTGACTCCACAGAGCTGTCCCCCGACTTCCACATGCATGCCATGGCAATCTCCCAACCCACAAAAATAGATCTTTAATAACTATTTTTGGGGATGCGGGAGGGAGGGTGGAATGGGGAGGAGAAGATAGAGGGGCCTATGACCAAGATGTAAGTTAAATTGAATTAATATAAAAAAAACCCACAAAAAAGAAAAAAATTGCACTTAAAACAAACTTATTTTTATACTTTTAAAAGAGGGAAAGGCAGGTAGATCTCTGAGTTTGAGACCAGCCTTGTCTATAGAAGGAGTGCCAGGACTACACAGAGAAAAACAAAACAAAACTTTGTGTTTGGACCTGAGGAGATAGATGGATTGGTGGAGTGCTTGCCTGGCAGACACAAAGTCCTGAGCCACCCCCAGCACTGTGATAATCAGGCATGGCAGCACACACCTGTAATCTGTGTAGCCAGGAGGTGGAGGCAGGAGGATCTAAGTTTAACACCATACTTAACTATACAGCAAGTTTAAGGCCAGCCTGGGCTACATGAGACCCTGTCTCAAAAAGAAAAAAAAAAGTTCTTTCAAAGTTCTACTTGTATATATTAAAATATTGGGTTTTTTGGGAGTTTTATCTGAGTCACTAATTTTTTTGGTAAATGAGTCCCAGTTTCAGAACATTCCAGAATTCAAGACTTGGCCTATTTTTCTTAAGAATTCCAAAGCTAAAGAAGAAACTTAGACACCTAGGTCAGGTGACTATAAACACAGTAAGTAAAGTGTTAAATGCATTTCAGTTCAATTTCATTGTAACCTGCTCTTTAGTATGAGAACTGCCCACCCATCACACCTGAAGCATACGGAGATTAGGAGGGTGTACCTGAGGTAGGTGGGGGGCTCTGTGCTGATGGACACAGCCTTGTACTTCTCATCGTTGCCATCCAGAATCTCCTCTACCTCAGAGGCCTTCAGCAGTGTCACACTGGTGGCGAGGGTGGTGTAGCCATGATCTGTAGGCAGAGAGACCCCACTGTGGTCATCCTGCAGCAGTGTGAGTGAGCTGCCAACCAACTTGATTCAGCACATGAGGTCCTCACATGCGGGAGGTGGGGAAAGCGAGGTGTCAAATTCACTACTGCTGGGTGCTAGCCTCTTCCAAAAGGGCAACCAAGCTGAGGGCCATCTTAGGGAGAAAGCCTCTGCTGGGATGGATTTGAACCAATTCACCTCCTACGAGCACTAGCTCAGGGGCAGAGATGTTTGGGGCAGCAGCAGCTAGGGGCTGCCAGGAAGGCCTCCGAGTAACACCCCAGTGGGAAGAGGTCTGACACCACCACAATCTAAACACAAAGCAAGGTAGGAGACAGAATGAAAGAGCACTACTTTTCTTTTAAAACAAGAACCCAGAGAGTTGGAAAGAACTGTTTCACACCGAGCAAGTCACCATCCCTGAGCCAGTCCAGGTATGCTGTCTAGAAACCAAGACAGACTTCATACGCGGTTACCCCAGCTGTTACCCCAGCTCTTCTAGGAAACCTTTGTCAAGAGCTGCTACTTAGCTGCAGGGCCTGGTTATCTTTGCTGGAGGAACCTCTTGGTTACAGGGAGGGAAGACACACAGCAGAAAGACCACTTAGGCTTCAGGGGAACTAAAGGAAGGGCAGGCAAAGCTAGGCAGCCACCATGCTAGTGACTGCACTCCACTTGTGGCAGAGGGAAACAGAGGAAACTGTTCAGGCAGCAGGGATCTGCTTTAGTGGTGACCAAAAAGCAGCTCTGGCCCCTGCATTAAAAGAGCCCCCAATTTACCGTGACACAACTACATTAGCACCTACAGACGAGGCGGACTACAAAGTGCTCGAGAGCACGCATGCACGCATGCACCGAGGCCCAGGGCAGCTCTCTACAGGGTGCCTCTGCGAAGCCAAATGTCCTGTCGCTCCCCTACCCGCATGTTCCTGCCAGAGGCCCCACAAGACGTGACGAGCATCACCACTCTGCAGATTGCCACAGCCCAGAGCTCGCACCAGTTTCCTAGCATCAAAGGGCTCACGTAGCAAGCCCCTGGCACGGGGCGGGCCACATGGAATGGGCACATGCACGTGAACATAGCACACTGGTTGCTGAGATGAAGTACTACAGGATAAATGTGCTCTGGGAGGGAAGCGGTGAAAGCCCCAGAGGAAAGTGAGGTTGGGACCACCGTCTGCTACTAGGGCTGCAGGGGGATGACTACAGCAACACACTCACAGCAAATGGGAGCGAATCACAGCATTCCTAAAACGTTTTGAGACCAACATGTCTTCACGGCACCTGCTACGGCCCTGACCCCGGCCCCTCACACAGCCCCTGGCCCAGCCAGGAACACACAACAGCGGAGCACCAAAGGCTCGCTGGTCACTCTCACCTGAACCACGTGTGCACTGGCAGGGTGGCCCGCCCCTGGGATGCTTCCTACCACTAAGGTCAGGCTGCAATGAAGACACTGGAGTGAAAACGTTTTATCTTCATGACATAAGCGAGTGGTTTTGAAACAGGTTTACAAACCCTCGTGAAGACGCACCCTTAGTGTTAGGTTTTGTTTTTTTACCATGTGACGATGCAACTATTTTCTTCCTCTCTTCCACAGTGGCTAGTCGCCTCCAGAGTGAGGGGTATCTCTTGTACAGAGAACCTCGGAACATACGGAGGTAGTTCCCCACCTATGAGTAAAGCAAGAAGGCTCATTATGAGGGTCAGGCCATCCACCGCTACACGGAAGGGTTCTGGCATAGAGGATTTGCCAGAGCAAGCGAATGAGGTTCAAGGCCTCCAGACGCCAGCCTTTCAGCAGTCGTAAAACACATTCTGCTGACATCAAGGGTTCAACAGCAGTGCACATCTGGCTGGCATCTGTGTATTCTGACATCAGAACTAAGTTCCAAAAGGCCTGAGCAGATGTCTATAAGGGAGAACCCCAGAGCTTAGTAAGAAGTTTGTGATTCTGGTCTGACTAGAGATTGTTGGCACTTTTCTGAAACCTAAGACTCCTGTGACCTTCTTTTATCTTAAGGAGCAGACTTTGATATTTTTACAAGGCAATAAACACCAAAAAGTCTTTAATTTTAGACAGATGCAAGATAATCTGTCTTGTTGCCTGTGTTGCTTTGTTTAGTAACAAAACTCAAACCAGAGACACCAAAGAATTTTTCAGAGTCTAAAAAAGCACTATATTAGTAATCCCTAGACTATCATGTAAATCACTACTTCCTCTAAGTAATAGCTTCAGTTTGCTGTAGCAATAATAAAATAATAAGTGCAGCCTTCAAGTGAAGCTAGTCTTAGGATTTTTATAAAGATACTCTATGGTCTCACCGACTCTTCAGAGACGATGCCTTTAGAGTCACCCTGTGAGGACGCCAATGGAGGCAGCACAAGGTACTGGCGTTGGCCTCTTACTGGCCTGTCAGATGCTTAACGACCGTGCCCTGGCTGGTATGGAGCTCGCTGTGTAGACGAGGCTGTCCTTGAACTCACAGAAATGGGCCTGCCTCTACTCAGAGATGGGACTAAAGGCGTGCACGGCCACGCTAGGCCCTCAGGTCTTAATTCTGCTCTAGAAAGGATCACTTCTATTATTCTTTTCATCTATCTCCCTATCATAGCCTACATTTATAAAGTGAAAGCAGTTTCTGCACTTTGCTTCCAGAAGAGATTTACATGACCAACAGCCAGAGCTGCTGAGCCAAAGAGCCGGACATCTACACATAGCAATTTGGTTTGTATACGTCTATACAGCAACTTGGTTTGTGGGTTATGATCACGCAAGGTACCATTTCATTCAGTTTTGGAAAGAAGTTAGCAATGTTGTCCCCCACAGCTACTGTGGGGGTCCTGCATGGCTTCTGCACCACAGACTCTAGGACACTAGGGCTGGACTGCTCGGCGTTTCCTAAATCAGTCTTTACCCTCTCTGGAATACAAAATCACAATTCTGGACTTGGGCGTTCATTTCTTCAAAGTTCTGTGACTTGTGTGGCACGTGACAGGATGACAGTGACACAGAGTCACAGCCACTGCAGATGCCACACAATGCTAGTGCTGCTGTGTCTGGCCCGTCTGTCTTAACAGACCAAGGGGCCGAGGGCCATCATTTATACAACACTGCCACAGGACCTGCAGATAGAAAGTACTTCAGGCATCGTACTACGCTCTTCCCAAAACCAAAGCCAACCCCAGAGAAGGAGAAAAAAAAAACCCTTTCCATTTTGATATCAGGATAATTATTCTCATTCAACTGAAAGGTTGTTGATAGCTTTCTAAAACCTAACACATGCTATGACCATGATCTCAAAAAGCCATGTTTTTCCAGTTTAAGCATCTCAGATGCGTGCGAAAAGAGCTCAGGGGAAAAGCATGTGTTCAGCATGCACAAGGCTCAACTCCTACCATGAGAAAAAGAGGAGTTGAGGCAGGCAGAGGGAGAAGAGGGTAAGGAGGCAGCGCATGCTGTGACTCCGCCTCTGAGGCTCTTCCCACTGACCAGGAGCTCTCTTTTAATCACTCCACCAGGTGAGAATTTTCCTTTCAAAATTACCACCAGCCACTCAGAGTTGGCTGGTGGTAATCATACATTTACCCTTTCCTACGCCAGACCAGGTCAATGTTTCTTTCAACAAGTTCTTCTGCATAGAACGTTCAAAGTACTCAACTGCCTTACGTACCTTGCATTTGAGCAAATGCCTAACAGCCAACAAGGACCATCACCAGCTGTGGGAGACGGACAGGCACTGACTGCATGTCTCCAACAGACACTGTGGAAGAGCAGCACTGAAGTGATGGTGTGAGCACGTCACGGCAAAACTCCCACTTTCGTTTAGTGGAAATGGTGAGAATGAAAACTCTTTAAGTCTGGATGGTTCTAACACCGGTGCCATTACCTGACACCAACACGCTACTGAAATAGAGGAGTTAACTGCTGGCATTCTGAAATGGCTTTAGCTCTCCAGGGTGGCTACTTACCTCCTTACACGTCTACTGACTGACATTTAAACACACGGATTTTATTTTATTTTTTTCCTTTTGAGACAGGGTCTTGCTATGTAGATCAGGCTAAACTCAAACTCACCCTGTACTTCTACCTCCCGGGTGAGCAGATTAAAGGTTTGGCCCACTGCCTGGCTGCCCACATCTTAAAAAAATAAAAAACGAGAAGAACATCAACAGGGCATGGTGCCACTTGGAGGCAGAGGCATGTGGATTTCTGTGAGTTCGAGGCCAGCCTGGTCTACAAAGTGGAGTTACAGGCCTGCCAAGGTTACACAATGAGAACTTGGTTCAAAAAGAATCGGAAAGGGGACACATAAACTGGTTGGTGGTTGCCCTTAATTGGAAGGCTAGTAAAAAATAAATAAATAAATAAATAAATAAATAAATAAATAAATAAATAATTCATACATTTGGCTGGTCAGAAGGAGTAACTGTAGGCAGTGGTTCTCAATTTTCGTAATGCTGTGAACCTTTAATACAGGTTCTCATGTTATGGTGGCCCCCAACCATAAAATTCTTTCATTGTTACTTCAGATCTGTAATTTTGCTACTGTTATGAGTTGTAATGTAAAGATCTGACACGCAGGGCATCTGATATCCTGTGAAAGGGTCTTTCGACACCCCTCCAAAGGAATAGCAACCCACAGGTTGAGAAACTCCGTCCTAAAGAAATTTGTCCACCTGAACAGAAGCTGTCTCTTCTACCTACGGGTTAGCGATCCTTCTGATTTATCCCCTATAAAGACTCAAAATATGTTCACAGATACCCAAAATGTCAGTGCTTCTGGCCTCGGGGCCTCATCCATGCAAAACCAAACATTCTTCTCCAACCACTTTCTAAAGGTCAGGAGGCTTCAGCAGCCCACCTCGGAAGCAAGAACACGAAAGGGAGGGGCTTTCCTAAGCCTCAGGCTTACAGCTTGGCACTCTCAAGCCCACGACAGTGGGGTGCACGAGAGCTGCCCCAGGGTTCAAGAGCACGACTGCACCTCCGCCTGCAAGCGCCCGCGGGCTTCCCGAACGTCCTTTTCCCATCTGCCTGGGGCGTACCGGCTGGACACTCTAAGCTGGGGCGGATGCTTAGGTAGGAAAACCCAGAAGGTCCAGGCTGGAGAGGGCCCGGCCACGCCCACCAGGCCACGCCCACCAGGCCACGCCCCAGCTGCGAGCACGCGCCCGCCTCCGCGATGAATGGAGGCGCGCACTCGGGCAGCACAGGCCCGCCCCGGTAGCTCGAGCGGGCCAGCCGCTGCCCGGGAAGACGAGAACGCGCCGCGGGGCTACCTCGGAACCGATCATGTAGAACTCGCCGTCGTCCTCCAGCTGGAACTTGACGGGCTTCTGCCCGAAGGTCTTGCTTAAAGCCATCATCATCATGGCGGCGGGGGAAACCGGCAGCCCGGGTCGAGCTGGAAAGAATCCGGTGGGCCGGGGCGGGGCCGAGGTGCGCTGGACCTAAGGGAACGGAGGCCAGGAGGCGAAGGACGGGCCGAGCGAGCCGGGCGGGCGCTCGCGCCGCTACTGGGTTCCTCAGCAGCCGCTGCGACGAGCAGGCCGCCCTCCGTGCGCTTGCGCGGGGGCTGACGCCAACGTGCGCGCCGCCGCCTGCGCAGCACACGGCCGAGCGCGCTCTCGCGGGCCCTTAAAGGAATCCGAGCTCTTCTCGCTTCCCAAGTCTGGTATGGAGGAAACGTTCCCACCGACCGAAATAGCCACTGAGGCCCTGCCCCAGGCAGTGGCTTTCTTAGTTGCACAGCCAGTGCTGGAACTCCTTCTGGGGGAGTGAAGAAAGTAAGTGAGACGTTAAGCAGGCAGAAGGACCGCTCCATCTGGAAGCCCGGGGGAGTCTGAGTGGGCATGGCGACCCCCAGGCTGGCGCCTCAGGTTCTCCACCCGGAAGTGCCCTGGGAACGGCTATCTCCGCTGCAGGCCCACAGTTGTTCCCGAGGCAGTAGGCATGGGAAGAACGACAGTATTGGATGGAGGTTGGTACTGTTCAGAGACCCAGGTGATGTGCCAGGTGAACGGGAAGGGCCCACGTGCATTCCTCTGTTTTGCAAGCTTGGTGCCCACAAGCCCAGCCCTGTTCTGTGCCTCTGCCCCTCGTTCCTTAATAGCCCTGAGGGAGGACAGTGCCTCTGGGAAGTGTCCAAGCAGTCCACCACCTGTTGAACACAGCAGTGACTCAAAAATGCTTGAGCAATGTTTATTGTAGCACTATTACAGGAGCTAACCTATAGCCCAGCCTAGGTAGCTATTCAACTATAGAGAAATAGATAAAGAAAATGCAGTATAGGTCGGGAGTGGTGGTGCAGGCCTTTAGCCCCAGCCCTCAGGAGGCAGAGGCAGGAGGATTTCTGTGGCAAGCCTGGTCTACAGAGGGAGTTCCGGAACAGCCAGGGCTGTAGAGAAACGCTGTCTCAGAAAACAAAACAAAAAAAAGTGTGTACATGATGGAATTTTTTTTTTTCAGCCACACACACACAGAAATTATTTGCAGGAAAATGGATGCAACTGGAGACATGTTTTCTCTCATTGATGGTTTCTAGAATCTGTAGACACATAAATTATGTATTATACAGAACATGAAAGTAAAAGTGACATTGTGTAGGGGAGCAAAGGGACTACAGGAGTGGGAGGGGAGATAATGGAAGGGGGAATGGGCAAAAATATAAATACTTCTATGAAAGTTGAAAAACAAACAGTGGCCAGTTAGTGACACAAGTGACCATAACGGTTCGTCTAAAGAGGTGGAAGTTCTGACAGGAGTCATTATGAAGGAGATCCTAAAGAACCAGGAAGGGCTGTGATAACCATGAGTTTTGGCCACTGTTCTCACAGCCATGGTAAGCAGAGTGTTAAGGGCCAGGCATGGTGGTTCACACCTTTAATCCCAGCCTTCAGAACTCCAGTCATAGGCAGGCTGATCTCTGGGAGTTCCAGGACAGCCATGGATATTTAATGAGACCATGCCTCCCCGAGGGGGTAGTTAGGCATGATCAGCTAAAAGGACCACTGCTTTGGAGGCTGACTTAAAGGGACAAATGAGAAAATAGGCAGCCTGTTAAAAAGTTGCTGCGGGTGTCCTCTACTTGTGCAGGAATGAAGTAAGAGAAACCCTAAACATTGGGCCTAGCCCCAGGAAACAATCTTGCAGGGGTTGGGGGAGGGGGAGGTAGAAGGGGCAGGTGGGTTGAGATGAAGGCTTTAACCCTAAGTCTCAAATCCAGATTGCAAATTGAAATTGCAAAGAGAAAACAGACAGGCACTTTAGAAAACACTCATGTTTAATGACAGTCTTGGTTTTTTTTTAGAAAAGGCTTTATACACTGTGTACACATTTACATGGCCTTGGAGGGTACCTGTGCTAGGAAGAGGGTCCCAGGAAGAAACAAGCCTGGGGCAAGGCACTGAGGTATGTGGGGCCTCTGAGGCTGCATCTCCGGGAGGAGGCAGCTGCCTCCCTGGCTGACTGTGTACCTTATTGGCCTGGGTCCCAGGAAACACACCTGAATCACCTGCCCAAAGGTAATCAGTCCAGCATCTCCCTAGAGCTGCCTTATCAGGAAAGATACTGCCTGAGGCCCATTTGCATGGCTGGGGCAGAATAGTACCCTGGGCGTCTCATCACCGACACCACTACCGACAGGAACCTCATTACAGGAATAGAACGAAGACACGTGGTTCATTAGTTCCTGTGGAGCTCTACTTTGAGGGACAGAGATGGAGGCCTTAGGCATCCAGGTTGACTGTGGAACGTTGATAGGTGGAAAATTGTCGGCCCAAGACCTCCCTTATTTTTAAGTAATGCCAAAGCCTTTGCCCAGTCTGAGACAGTTGTTGGCAGATGACCACGACCAGCATGGTCCTCCCTGCAAATTGTGGCTGTACCCCAGCCGACTCCCCTGAGGATACATAGGCTCTGACTGTCCCATGCCTGTAGCCCAGAGCCACAAATATGGCTGTGGGTCTCTTTAATATAAGTGGCCCAGCAGGAGGCAGTACCCCCACATGCACCCAAGGTGTTGTCAGCGGAAAGTGTTGGCAGGCTCTGCACAGTCAAAAAAGTCAGGACCTATGGGGCGAGGAAAGCCTTCTAGGACCTTCACCTTCACAGGGTCAAACTTCCAGTAGAGATGGCCACGAAGGAAGTAGGCATAGCCTGAAGAGAGAAGGTGGTCAGGCGGGGTAAGTGAATTCTAGGCTCTGCACCTGCCAGTCAGGCAGGCCCTGGGGACAGATACCACACAGTGCTGAGTAAGGAGGCATGTCTGTGCTTCCCAGCACTGAGGAGGTAGAGGCAGGAGGATTAGGTGTTCAGGGTCATCCTTAGTTACATACTAAGTTTGAAGCTAGCCTGGACTACAAGAGACCCTGCCTTCAAAAGAAGAAAATAACTAAATCTTCAGACTCCAGAGCTGGCTTACCAGAACCTCCCCTCCTTTCCCTCCAGGGAGCCTTCCAGGGTTTGGTGCAGTGTTACTGGGAACCTCAGTTCAGTTGCTACCTTTCAGGGAAACAAGGACTGCTCCTGTTATAAACCTCCCCGTCACTTCCACACCACAGAAGGCAATACCAGAGATACAGAGCCTGGGGCTACTTGGAGTAGTTCTCCCGGTGATTCCCGTGCTGGTGGGCACAGAAGCGAAGGGGAATTGTGAGAAAGAGAGCACTGGGTTTGGCTGAAGTTCTCTGCCCTTAGGAGTAAGCCTGGTGGTCCAGTGGTTGGGGCAGTGACTGACAGGAGTCCTGATTTCTCTGGTACGTTTACTGACCTCACCGCCCATTCCTCTGCCCCTTTAAAACTATGATAGTAAGAGCTGTTATGGTCAGGCATGGAGGTGCACTCCTTCGATCCGAGGCAGATTTCTATGAGTTCAAGGCCAGCTTGGTCTACAAGGCAAGACCCAGGTTAGCCCAGGATACACAGACCATGCCTCAAACAAAAAGCCATTGTGACACCAGAAGGCTGTTCTGAGACACATAAGGAGATTAGCGCTGTGCCTGAAGCATCATCTATCCTTGGTAAGCACTGGCAGTGGCCAAGGGACCCTGGACAAGTCCTTGTACCTCTCTGGCCTTCAATCTCATTTTTAATATGGGGCATAAAACTGGTTGGCCACCAGGAGGGGAGATAGCAACACTAGACAGAGGATCTGTGATCATGATGATCTAGGCCTCATGAAGTCTGTGCCTGGTGGGGGAGGGGATCAGGATGACAGCCACTCACCTCCCTACAGCTACCTAACCCCCAACTCACCCTCTGCATCCTGGAAGGCAGCGTCGATCTCAGAAGGCACCCCTCGCCAGTCAGTGGTGCGTCGGGGCACAGGATTGTCCACATGTTGGGTTCTTGGGTGGAAACGCCAATAGTCTCCACCTCGGAAGAAGTAGATCTTGTTCTTCTCAGGACCCCAGACCAAGGCAGCGTGGACCGGAGACTCCTGCAGGCCCAGCTTGGAGAGTGGTTCAGGGCCTAGGACTGGCTTCTCCCCGTCATATATCCAGTACTGAGCACCTGCCAGAGACGGGATGCTGCCAGGAGCTGCCAAGCTACCACTGCCACACCCAGTCACTGTGAATCTGCTTGGCCACCATCAGGGACTCTCCCAGCCTGTGTCTTTTGTCTGTAAGACATTGCTGGCCAATAGTGCTTTCTCAGCAACCCTACCTCAGAGGGATGTTAGAACCAGCCTGAGAAGAGCCAGGTTGAGATGATAAGCTTAGGTTCAATAAGCCCGAATTAAGGTTCTTCTGGTTGAGGCTGCCCATTGCAGATGTTTGCTGACCGCCCTGGGTCCCGGCCCCTGTAACAGGTCCCTCTGCTGGCTGCCATGGAATGCACATACAGGGTTCCCACACCTCACCTGTGTTTATGAAGTCCTGCCACCTGGAACGTTCCAGGTTGTCATCTCTGCCAGGTGGAGTCGAAATCACAGGCTCCAGGGTCACTGCCTACATCAGTTTCCTGCTCTGCTTTTTCCAAGCTCTACACAAGTGAGTCATTCTGCCTCTGAGCCCAAGTCCTCCTCTCTAAAGCCCCATCACACATGGTGGCTTTGGGGTTGACCATATCAGCACGCAACGGCAGTGTGCAAGATACCAATGATACCCTGATCTCAAGAGCGGTTGCCTCTGGGAGGCTCAGCTGGGCCCAGGGAGTAAGCCCCACATTCCCTCGGCTCGAAGTCCTCAGGGCACTGTGTCCCTGAGTCCTCTGTCACTACTCCTGGCTGACTGCCAATTCCCACGCACCTTGGAAGAACCAAATCTGGCCCTGGGAATCCTCGAAAGCTGCATCCACCGGGCTGGGCAGTCCTTGCCAGTGCCGAGAGGCCAGAGCAGGATACCCAGGCTGCAGGCGCCCACCGCGCAGGCGCCACACAAAGCCTGCCTTGAAGAAGAAGAGCTCTCCTCGGATGGTGGAAACCGCATCAAAGGAAGTCTCACAGACATCTGGCGGGGTTTCTGGCTGGGGTGGGATAGAAAGAGCACGTCGTCCTGGAGCCGTAAGACCAGCAGGGTTGCAAAGAAGACAGAGCTGGGGTCTTCCCTCCACCTTCCCACCCACCTCATTCTTACCTCCAGCAGCGCGATCTCATTGGTATCTATCCCAGCCTGGGAGCCCAAGGCTGGGGTGTGGGAGGTGGGGGCCGGCCGGGGCCGGCCATAGAGGTGTTGGATGCCTCTTCGGTCATCTGGCCCGAGGCTTAGAGGGTAGCGGAAGGTGTAGAAAGGGGACATAAGGGCCTTCACTGCTGTGGTGTGTTGCAGGCCCAGAACATGGCCAAATTCATGAGCTGCCACTTGCAGCAGGTCTGTGCCTAGAAGAGGGGGAGGTGAGTTAGACCGCCTCCACTTCCTGCCACCAGTTCTAGACCCCAGTGAGTGCCTCCTAGTTGCCTCATCTGGAATATGGGCCTCCAGCACATACCCTTGTTGTCCCCAATAGTCCAAGTTTCATCATAGTCAAAGTGCACATCCCCTTCTCGGTGGGTCTTGGGGAAGAAGGCATGGGCCAGGATGCCCCCAGGCCCATCAAATGGCAAGTTGTCCCCGTGCCAGTACCTGGGGCGTGGAAGAACACAGTTAGAGGCTGCTGACAATGGGAGATATTCCCAGAGAGGTCCCAGGCCACGGGGTTCACCTGGTGAAGTCAATCATGATGTCAGCGCGTCCCTCGTACACCTCGGTGAAAGTGAGCGGTGTCACCTCGCTCCACACCTGGAGGGCCTCTGCCACCGTCTTCCGTACCTGCTCCCTTACAAGCTGCCATGGGAACCGGAGGATCCTGGGGGGAGGTGGAGGGGCCTGGGCATGGAGTCAGGAAGCCCCCGAGGACGGAGGAGTCAAGCCTCCCTTGGAGCTGAGTGTGGTGACTCCTATCTTTCCTCCCAGCACTGGGGAAGCCGAGGCAGGATTTCTGTGGTTCTGAGGCCATCCTGGCTATTATGTGGGAACCTGTCTCACCACCTCCTCAAAAGAAAGAAATGTTGCCTCTCGATGATCGGGGCGTGTGTGCAGTCAGGGCTGGGCCTAGCAGTGTCTGGGTCTCAGGCTTAGGGAGCTGTTCTAGACATGGGTTCACCTGTCTGGGGTTGTGCTTGTTTAGAGACACACACTGAGTGGAAAGGGCACAAGAGCAGGGGTCCCAAGACCTGACAGTACAACTCCCTGTGAGAAGTCTTGTATTGGAACTTGTTCAAAACTTCTGCACCCCTATCTCAGCTCCAATGCCATGGTGACCCTGGAGTATTTTCCCTCAGGCTAAGTCTCAGCTTCCTCACCACTCGCTGAGGGACCTCCTGTGTTACCAGCAAGTAGTCCACCACCACTCATGTCCACCTGCAGAAGGCCCAAGTTGTTAGGTGGATTTGAACAATCTACCAGGGCTCTGTCCCATTTCCTACAGGTCCCAGGCCTGTGCCTTGAATGTCTCTATTAAAGTCTGTCTGAGGGCCTCAAATCTTCCCCTAGGCGTGAACTGAGCTTCTCATATGCCTATGCAAGAGGGCATAATCTGTGTGTGTGTATCTAGACCAAGATTCCAGGTTACTGGTCCCCGAACGGCTGGGGCAGGTGGGGTCAGTGGGCATGCAGGTCTGTGCGGTGCGAATGCAGCCTTGGGCATCTCGGGATGAAGGTGTGAGTACAACATAGTCCTGCTCCCCTGGCTTCTGGTCCCTACCTATAGGTGAGGTCTGTCTTCTCCCAGCGGCCCCCCGACAGCACGAAGCGCTTCTGTCGGTTTCGGGCACTCAGGACATCAGGTGGGTCCGGCACACCACATCGTAGAGGTCTGGAGCCGCTAACAGGACCAGGGGCCCGGTGGGAGGCGGCGGCAGACGTCAAGCCATTAGGCAGAGCTGCATGCAGGAGCTGCAGCCCTCTCTTCACAGGGTGGCGACGCTGGCTCTCCTGGGCAAGAAAAACGATGCAAGAGCCAAGTCAGACTTCAGATCCTGGACTGCTGGGCAAACAGAAGAGCTGAGAGGTATGCTGGCACAAAGCTGGCTCCATCAGCCTTAGGTTGAGCCTCTGGTTTTCTCTTGTTTTAAGGCATCAATCTTTCTCCTTCCTCGTCCTGCTGGAGGGCCCTGAGCTGCATCCTCCCACCTTTTTCCCAGAGTCTAAAGGAAGAGATTACAATTCTCCATTTTTTGGGAAAGCTATAAAGCACCTGTTGCCTCTGCACAGGGTAACCACTGAAACTATACCTGGGGACCTCAAAGTTTCACAATGAAGATGTGGACCCAGCCACACTGGCCTGTCCAACCTGGTCAGCAAGAGAGACGGGTTGGTTCCTCTTTTCAGCTCTACCAGGGGAGTCTAGTGACCCTCTCAGAGAACAGCAGGGGGCCGTCATCTCCCTGCAGCCCCTCCAGCTCATCAGCAGCGCTCGAACTCTCTCCTCTGCCACCCAGTGAGGCTGGCAGAGCAGCCACGAAAGGAGGAAAGGTAATGGAGATGGATGACCCTTCCCATCTCCACTGTTCCCCTCAACAGCCCTCCCCTCCCTGTGAAGCATCAAGGCCCGAAGCTCAGCTTCTGAAAGCTAAATTCTCTTCACTGGTGGCTGCACCGTGAGCAGTCACTGTCTTCATGGGGCTCCCGTTTGCCATCTGTCCAGTGTCAATAGCGTGAGAAGGAGCTGAGAGGCACCCTGTATACTCTGCAGCAGCAACTGACCCAGGGCAGGTCCTTCCCAGACTCCACCCCTTAGCCCTATGCTCCCTCCCACACTTGGGACTGCTGGGATCCAATGAGCTCAGAGATCCCCCAGCCTATAGCTGGTGAGAGTTTGGGAAGCAATCACTATTCTAACTTCAGCCTAAATGCCCAACACCCCAGAGCATGAAACAGAGTCCAGAGAGGTTAAAGACTTTTCCTGGCATCACACAGCAAGCCAGACAAGAGCCGGGCTCAGCCCTGGGGCTTATGCCTCCCCAAGACCTCACCCGTTCCCCACCAGCTTGGCTCATCTCCAAGACCCACATTCCTAAGAAGCATTTCTGTTTGTAGTGCATTCCCTTTTCCTCAGCTAGCAGCCTTCCTGTGGCCTGTCTCATGGAGGGGCCTGACTCATTGGGCCCCACCCTCCTCTGGCTTGGCAGCTGCCAATCCACAGCCTCAGACACACTCAAGGGACTCTTGGCTGACCCAGTCTTCCTGGCATAGCTCAGACACTCAAGGTCAGCCCTGGGAGTAACTTCCAATCCAGACCATGGGAGGAACCCAGTGGAAGGTAAATAAGAAAGGGCCCCAGACTAGAAAGCCACTAAAGACCAGGCAGCCTGAGGACCCCAGTTTGCTTTTGGTCTAACGGGCATGAGAGTGGTCAGTAGTAGGCAGCCCTGAAAGCAAGTCACCTGGTTAGGCTGTGATGAGGCAGGCGAGCGGCAGAGAAGTCAAGGCAACAGCCCATGTCACACACTCAACTGGGTACTCAGACTTCATCCTCCTTAGCTTCTGCTTAACCCCCCTCCCACCCCTCCCTGCTGCCTCCACAAGGGAGGGCAGCTTCCCTGGCCACTAGGCTGTGGGGCTTTCACCAACACTGAAGGCTGGAGGATGGGATGAATAAATACGAAACTCTTTTGGTCCTGCTGACAGCACTCTAGGGATAAAAACATTAGAGGTGACCCGCTCTGCGCTTCTATAGTGGGACAGAGCCTCAGCTCAGATCCCCAGGCATGCTTGCCCCACCCCCAAACCCTGCGACAACTACAGCTGACAACTGTGTCTCTCTCCGGTGTGCCCCACAGTAGGTACTGATGTTCTCTCCTGCTTTGTCCCCTTATCGGGGAGTCAGGGGGAGTGCATTCACCCAAGGTTTCATGGTTTAAACTCAGATTTCTCCGGTTCCCAAATGCATGAGTGCAATCCACGGCTGGAGGCTATCATCTGTGCTCCACGTTCTAGGGCAGGAAACGCCATACTCTGCCTGATTAACGACACTCACCCCCCTTTCCAAACCCTTTTCTTCCTAAGGCCAGTGTGGGGCAAAACTGGCAGATGGACCAGTGTGGCTGAACTGAGGGACCAGGCCCCGGCCACCTGCCTGTCATACCTTCCTCCCATCATTCCTTGAGCTAGCTGGCTGCATCGGCTGGCCACTGAGGGCAGGGTATCCAGCGGGTATTGTAGCTCTGTAGTGCTCCCAGCCCCAGCCCAGCTTAGTCACTGCTATGACAGGTGCCTCAAAAACCAGCCTGGAAGAAGGCTGCAGCCATTGGGACACACAGTCTGTGAGCCCCTCAATCCCTAATCTCCCCCTTTGCCTCTTTGCACTCCCTTTCCTTTCTCTCTCGCCGTGCTTTTGTTCCCTGGGAGTCTACAGCACCCAGTTTCAGCGCCCCCTTTTATTCTGACTGCCACCTGACGCTCATACACACTCTGTCTCCGGCGCACTTTCTGTCCACTTCAAGCCTCCCTGCAGTTTGAGGCACCTCTCTCAACTTGGGCCCCATTCTCTCCGTCCTTTATTCTCCAGCCACCGTTCACACCTTGCAGGGGTGCTCCCTGGAACCACACACCTGGAGGCTGTCTCACGGGCCCCAGACTTGCTTTGCTTCCTTCCTGTGGTGAACAAGGGGCCCTGGTATCCACTCCCTCTGCTACCTCTACCAACAACACACACTCCAGCATCTCTTGCTGGGACTGGAGAAGCCGGTCCCCAAACTGAATCCAGCGCGGAGCCGCGCCTGACCAGCCGCAAACGCTCCACTTGCACACCGCCAGCAACCAGAAGCTCATTCTCGCACCCAGAGAGACCCAAAAGGCTTTTCCGGGACCGACTGCGCTAGGGTAGCCAAGGCGCTCGGTGGGTCAAGCTCAGCCAGTGGGCCCAGCCCGCGTGCCCAGCCCTCCCTAGGGGAGGAGTGGCGGGCACTCACCGGTGGCCTGGCCCGGGCCATCAGCGGCGGCGGCAGGAGGAGCAGCAGCAGCAGTAGCAGCAGAGGGAGCGGGAGTAGGAGGGCGCGCGAAACCGCGCGGAGAAGACAGGCGGCCCGTGCCATCCGCCCCGGGGCTGCTGGGCCTGCTGGGCCGCGCCGGGCCACCGCCCCTTATAGCGTTCGCCCCGCCCCCACCGGCGCCGGGACCGCACCCCCCGCCGCCCCGCCTCCCTCTGCCTTTTGTTCTAAACTCGAGCGGGCGTGCAACAGCGAGCGGCCTGGGTTGGGGAGGAGTGCCCGGAGGGACTATACCCCTTATCCCTGGTGAGAGCGAGCCGTGGAGAGCTCGGTCTTCCTGTTCTCTAACCCGGCTTTCACAAGTCTCATCTTTTGCCAGGTCTCACGGTGGCTTGACCTCTGTCTGACTTCTTTTAGCCTGTGACAGGTGGGCAAATCCCCCATCCTCACAGACCTAGCCAATCCACTAGGAAGGTGGCACAGTAGCTCCTGCAAGGAACCGGTTATTGAAATATGACCTCGGGGGGGGAAACTAAGGCAGATGGCAGAAGTTGACCAGCCAGCCTCTCTCACCTTAAAACAAACCAGAGACGGAGGAGAGGATGGGGATGGGGGTGGGAGGAGGTTGGGAGGCTGGAGAGATGGCTCAGTGGTTATAAGCACTTGTTGCTCTTGCAGACGACCCGGATCCCATTCCAAGCACCCACTTTCCTAGGATCTGATGCCTTCTTCTGATCTCCAAGGACACTTGGCACACACCGGTGCACACACAAAAACACCAGACCAGAGACAATTACGGAGGATCTTGGAGAAAGGGGCATAGGACGTGTCTGAGATGGGCCCTGAAGGCTCAGTTGTTCCCTGGCTGGGGCCCTGGCCAGCTGGCTTTTCCTGACCAGTCAGGCCCAGCTATTTGAGCCAGGGAGAGAATCAAAGGTGAGAGTGGAAAATGTTTATCCATTCTCGTCTCCGCAGGGGGCTATCCAAATGGGCAGTGTACCCTCTGATGACTACCGACTTCTACAGTGCACTATGAATCTCCAAAGCTAAAATGCAGGCAGGCAGGCAGGCAGGGCCCTAAGCTGCGGCAAGGTGGGGCCAGAGAGCAGTGAGTTCTACTTGGCCACCTGCAATCTTTTCAAAAAGCCTTTTAAAGGCTGGCATTTATTTCATTCTTTTCTCCTCCCTTCCTGCTGGGCCCCTTTCTCTCTCTCTTTTTCTTTCACGGCAGAGTGTCCTATGCATACGTGTAGCTCAGGCAGGCCTCCAATTTAAGATTCTTCTCTTAGTTTATTTGAGTGACAGGATTACAAGTACACATCTTCATCTATAGAATTTCCAAGGTCTGTTCAGCCTCATCTTAGCAAAGCCAGTCAAAGAATCATGAAGTGAATGAGGCATTCATACTTTTTTTTTTTTTTTCCTTTCTCAAGACAGGGTTTCTCTGTGTAGCCCTGGCTGTCCTGGAACTCACTCTGTAGACCAGACTGGTCTTGAATGCAAGGATCCACCTGCCTCTGCCTCCTGAGTGCTGGGATTAAAGGTGTGCACCACCATCGCCCAGCTCTCATACATTTTCTGATGTGTATGAAAGTGTAGCATTTTAAAAACAAACAGAGCTGGAGAGACGGCTCATCGGTTAAGAGCACTGTCTCCTCTTCCAGATGGTCCTGAGTTCAATTCCCAGCAACCGCATGGTGGCTCACAACCATCTGTACTGGAATCTGATACCCTCTTATGGCATGCAGGTGTACATTCGGATAGAGCACTCATCTACATAATAAATAAATCTTAAAAAAATATAAAAACAACAGTTTACTGGATGTGGTAGAGCCCGCCTTTAATCCCAGCACTTGGGAGACAGACTCAGGTGTCTTTCTGTGACAGACCAGGCAGTCTGGTCTACATAGTGAATTCCAGGACAGCTGGGCTGTATACAGGCCCAGTCTCAACCCAGAACAAGTGGCTGAAGTGCCTATTTAACACATCAAAGGGGACCTGGCCTCGAGGTTTCTCCCAGCATATCCTAGTTCCCACCTGTCACAGGGCATGGCTGGCATACGCTGCCCTCTACCCTGAACTTTTCAAGCCAGGACAGAGGCTCTTCACTCCAATCCACACATTTTTGTTCCCTCCCTCCCCTCCCCTCGTTTCTCTCTCTCTGCCTGCACACTCTCTTTTTCTCCCACACCTTTCTCTACCTCCCTGTCTGTATGATGACTTCCCTGGCCCAGTACCTTGGGACGGGTGACCCCGCCGAAGAGCTGCTCCTAATAAACCTGCCTTTGTACTTTAATTTGGCTTGAATTGGCTCATTTTGTCGGCAGAGAATACCTGTCAAAAACAATCCCCCAACACCCCAAAACATTCATCTGCGCAACATAAACAGCCTTCAGCGTTGCCAGGGACGCATGGCCGCCTTTTGGGGAACCCGTAGCTTACCAGCCAGAGCCTAAGGTGTTACCACCCTACTAAAGGATCTGGGATTCAGTTGTGAACCACCACCAACCATCTCCTGTAATTTTTATGGTGCTGCACCTCGGATGCCAGGAGCCTGGGGGACTGAGGTAGGGTGGTCTCAGGGTCAAGGGCCCTCCTGAGCTCACCTGGACAGGCATGGCTCAAGGATGCCAGCGCGTTCTAAGAGTCAAAGAAGGAATGAGACACTTCTAGCTCGGATTCTGACGATGGCGCACCGCACCACCGAAGGTCTTTAGACTCTAGTCCTTTGGTGATTCTGGGATAGTTATTCTCAAACCCTGTCTTGTTATAGGAGCCAGGGAGCACGGCCTGGCCTGGAGTCTCTGTTCCCTCCTCCGCTGGTTGCCTAGGTGCCTTCTCTTTCCTCCTGGGCTCGTGACAAATCCCTATTCCACTGCTTGGGTTCTGCGATGGTCCTAACAGAAACGTCTGCCCTCGCTGCCCTTGCTTAAGCTTAGGTCAATCCTGCCGGCGGGGGGAGGGGGGAACTCTAGGACCCTAGGAGCTTCGCCTTGCCCTGGGTTGGTTCAGGCGCCCTAAATCCAGGAGGGTACTTTGGCACCTCCCATTTGCGGGGCGTGTCCCCGAGGCTCCGCCTCAGATCCCGCCCCTTTCACCTGACGCGCCGGACGCTGCAGCGTTAGTTCCTCGGGCACTGAGCTAGGGTTACGGTCCACGCGTCCTTCTCTGTGCTACTTCGGTCCCACCGCTGTCATGCCTCGGGGAAGCCGCAGCGCGGCTGCCAGGCCGGCCAGGTGTGAAGGGGACAGGGCCCTCGTGGGGAGGGGTGAGGGAAGCGTGGGTACTCGCCCAAGGGCGTCCAGAATGACCTTGGAGGCTGCGGCGCCATGTTTGCGGGGGCGGGGGGGGGACGCGCAGAAACACGAGTCTAAGATGAGGGTCGCCCTGGTCCCTGGAGTAGAGGGGTTTCTTCCCGGAGCATTAACCCTGCCTCTTCTTGCTTCCCGCAGCCGCCCAGCCCACCCTCCTGCGCACCCACCACCCTCAGCGGCCGCCCCGGCACCTGCCGCTTCGGGCCAGCCGGGTCTTATGGCTCAGATGGCATCCACCGCCGCAGGCGTAGCCGTGGGCTCAGCTGTAGGGCATGTCATGGGTAGCGCCCTGACCAGCGCCTTCAGCGGGGGCAGCTCAGAACCTGCCCAGCCTCCTGTCCAGCAGGTGAGTGGGAGGGCTCAAGAGAAAGCAGGCAGGATTCGCTCAAGGTTTGCCTAAGTGTCCAGTGAGGAGTGACCTAGTGTGTTTAGAGATGCTTCAGGCCCAGGATTTTGGCCAAAGGAGGGTCCTAACCCTCATGGCTACTGTTGAGCCTACTGTTGCTCACTGGAAAGCTTGCCCCAGCCCTCATTTGAGGGTAAAAATGTCTGACTGACAGAGACTGACAACCATAGATCTTCCAAGGTGGAGAAAACCCAAGCTCAGATGGGTGCAAACACTTGTCCAAGGACACCTAACTCTAGCGGAGCAGGGTGAGCTGCAGTATTTCCCAAGCTCTTGTTCTCACTGAAGCCGAGGCTGCCATTGTGGCATCTACTCCCTGGTGACCTGTGCCCCACCCAAGTCTCGAGCCAAATCCAAATGCTTGTTAGCAGTGTGAGTCCAGCATCGTGAGAATCGGCGTGGCTGAGCCAGGAAGGTACTGTAACTTGGCGTAGGGCTTGCGCTCTGTGAACACATGCAGCGGACAGCTTTTTCTGGAACCTTCTCTTCCCACTCCTGCTTTTGCCCAGCATGTCCATTTTGAGGCAGAAAGAGAACTCCCGTCTGTAGCTGTTGAGTGGCCGTTAGAGGGCGGCTGGTTCACCCTGTGCTGGGGATGCAACTGAGGCCAGGCAGGGGCAATCTAGTCCTGGATCACTCCCTTTGGGGTACCAGGGCTAGGGAAGTGGGGGGGGGGGGCAGGAAGTCTCCAGCTTTGGTATTTTACTGTGGGTACGGACAGTTGCCTCTTGTCCCCTTCCCCAGGCGCCTGCCCGTCCTGCCTCCCAGCCCCTACAGATGGGGCCCTGCTCCTATGAGATCAAGCAGTTCCTGGACTGCTCGACCACTCAGAGTGACCTAACCCTATGTGAGGGCTTCAGCGAGGCCCTGAAACAGTGCAAATACAATCACGGTGAGCAGTTGGATTGGGGCCGGTGGGGCCGGGAGGGGCAGGCCCTCTTGGTACCTGCAGGCTGATCAGCGAGCGGTCTGTGCTGTGGTCCCTTTACAGGTCTCAGCTCCCTGCCTTGAAGAGGCCATGGGCTTGCTCTTAGCCTGACCCCTCACCGACAGCCTGATGGAGATAATATGGTTCCCCGGGAGTAAGAAGGGTAATTCTTACCCCACAGATTAACAAAAGACATAAACACTCAATAAAAGAGTTTACTTTAGACCACAGCCTGCTGTGTCTGCCGGGAGGTGGGATCAGGGGAGATGGGTGATGGATGATATCTCATTAGTGTGCTATGCTTCATCTTTATGGGGGTGGGAGAGAGGAGGGGGGGCAGGGAAATCTTGTTACATAACCCTGGGCTGTCCTTGACTCTCTGGGGTGGGGTGGGAGGAACCCCTGTTATCTGCATTGTGGAGAGCCAAGGACAGCTTACTCTGGGGACTCTCCTAAGTGGGGAGAGGGATGAGGCATTTGTAAGTGGTCCAAGCTCCTGGGACCCGAAGTCAAGCGAGAAGCCTATTGTCTCTGCCCACAGGAACTGCCCCCCCCCACCCTTCTTTTGTCCTTGGATCTTCTTTGCACTCAAATGGGGTATGTGTGTGTGTGTGTATTGAGGGGGGGGTTGCGCGCACATCCTGTCTGTGACCTTTCCCTTCTTGCTGATGCAACCTCTTGGTAATGCCAGATTCTGAAAGAGGAGTCCTGCCGGGCTGCTGTCTGTCTGCAGTTTACCCTAATGCGGAGGTCAGGGCCAGTCTCCTTGGATCCAAGTCCAGCTGCGCCATTTGGCTGTGGTGTGCCAGGTCATACGACCTGCTGGAATGGAAGCAGGGCCTTCAGACCCCAGCACAGACTGCGCCATCACACACTGTAGCTACTTTCACTGGGTTCCGTCAGCATTTTTGCACTGAGCACCAGCTTCCTAAGCGCAGAGCATTTCTGCCTTTAGGATGCTTCTACTCCAGCAGTATGGCGGGACCTACCTTTAGGTACAGTGTGTACTGTCCTGGGTGTGTATGTGTGTGGAGGCTGTGCCTCTCGCCACTCGTGTCTGTCTCTCAGTAAGGGATCTCCCTTTGAGATCTTCCTGGGTTTCCATACCTTTTTGGTGCCTGGCTCCAGCTAGCGGTTTCTAGATGGTAGGGAAGTCACCCTTCGAGACCTTGAAGGGAAACCTTTTTCCTGGTGGCTGTGCCGAATGCCTGTGCGTCTTCTCTGACTATTGCTTGTGGCTGGAAATCTGGAAAGCCAGCACAGCTCCTCTGAAAGGCCCAGGAAATCCTGTTGTTGGGAGCTGGGAGATGTGCCCCAACCTCACTTACCCTGATGCTCACCTGCTAACTGTGGATACTGGTGTTCCAGGTTATCCAATAGCGACTCATAGTAGGGGAAGTTCCCATCTTTTCCTCCTGTGGAGCACAGGACCCTAGACTGTCCTGGTGGTTCCCATACTACCTTTTGTTCTGTATCTGTTTCCCAGCCCAGGCCGCGGATTAGGACAGACTTTGGATAGGGATGGCTGGGGACAGGACGCAGCCAAGGCTAAGGCTGAATAGGCTCTTAGTTGGTCTGTGGCCTGCCACCTCTCCCCACTTACTAATGATCTGTACCAGGACATAGGTCCCTTGCTCCTGTAGCAGGGAACAGGCCATGGAAGGAGCCTGGGCAGTCTTCTCCTCTAGCCTCACCAGGTGCCCGTCCTCACCCAGGAGGGCTATGGTTACTGGGAAGACAAAGGAAGAAGCTGGGCAGCCTGTATCCTGGTATGGGACCCTAAACCTTTCCTCCCTGGGCCCTCCAGGTCTTCTCACCTTCTGGGGGGACCTGCACCTTCTGTTTCAGATACATAGTGAAGGCTACGAGGCTGCACCAGGGGTTCACCAGCTCCCGGCAACCAGCTAAGAGGGGGGCGTAGATGAGTGGGTGGATGTCGTGGCCTCCCCAAACTCAGAGAATCGATTCCACTCCCATGCCCAGGGATGCCACTAGGATTATGGGGCAAGGAATATGCTTCAGGCCCGAGACCCTAGGCAAATGCTGCTCAGACTGCATTGGAGACCACTGTGTCCATCTCTTGCTGTGTAGAGGATCGGGGACCACAACTGGAGTCCTCCCAGACTCTGGCTCTGCCCCCTTGTCCTGACATTGCTTTGTCTCCTCATGGGAACAGCTTTCTCAATCCCTGGCGCCCCCCTCCCTTCCTGTCCCCCAGTCTGTATCTCTCCCAGGTCTCTAGGGTGGAGGGAGGCACAACTCTTGAGTAGGGTCCCTACATTCTGGGACAGGCGACCCTGCTTACCTCCAAACAGCACAGTGATGAACATGGCTGCAGAAGGAAGGAGACAGATCCTGGATCTTTGAACCCCTCCTCCTGCTGCTGCTCCCTTCCACACGGCTCCCACCTAGGAACTGTGCCTATGAGGATTGCTGGGTTGGGTGGGCTTGGCTCCTTGCTCTGGTCTGACCCCCTGTGCACCCGCTTGCTCAGCTAGTCCAAGACCACTGGCCTCTTCTTTCTTCTGCTGCTCTCTTGGTTGCCAGCAGCTCCTTTAGCTCCCAGTGGTCTCCATGGCAGTGGGAACTGCCAAGACATCTAGGCAGGAAATGCTTTATCCCCAGTATCCTGGTAACTGGACCTACTGAGGGCGGGCCCATGGGTGGGGCTCTGATCAGGGCCCAGGCTCAAGACTGAAGTCCCTAGGATGCCCCATACTGTTTGAGAGACCATGTCTCCTACCCGGGAGAGACAGTGTGCAGACTGCAGGACTGGGGGTATCCTCACCAACCCCGAGAGGCCCCCTAACAATGACCGTTTCCCCTGTGACTCTCTTCCCTCCTCCCAGCCTTCCAATTGTTCTGTTCTTGTTTCCTTTTGTCTTCTCCTGTTAGTCACATTTATGGAGGTATAATTTATGTTTCCTTTGGAATGTTTTTGTTTGTTTGTTTGTTTGGGGTTTTTTTTGTTTGTTTGTTTTGGAGACAGGGTTTCTCTGTATAGCCTTGGCTACAGTTAGACCAGGCTGGCCTCTGCCTCCCAGAGGGCTGGGATTACAGCTGTGTGCCATGGTGCCCGGCTGTGTATGTGTTTTTGTATGTGTGCATGTGTGTGGCAGTCAGAGGATAGCTTGTGGAAGCCAGTTCTCTCCCGCTTTGTAGGTCGTAGAGATTGAACTCAGGCTGTTGGGCTAGGTGACGTGCTCCTTTACTCGCTGAGCTATCTTGTTGGCACCATTTTCAAGTTTTGACAAATCTTTAATTACCACAGCCAGGATACAGAACGTTTCCATCACCCCTTCCCATGACCCTTTGAAATTGTGAGAATGAAAATAGTATTTAACCACTGGGCAGTGGTATCCTATACCTTTAATCCCAGCACTTAGGCAGGGGCAGGCTGGCCTAAAAGTCCAGGAGAGCCAAGGCTACGCGGAGAAACCCCCTCTACAAAAAAAAAAACAAGGGGGGAAAATAGAAAAAAAGAAAAAAGAAAGGTCCTTAGCCCCCACCCTCCTACTCTAAATAACTAAACTGGATGGTTTATAGGTGGGGATTTTATGCATGTATGTCTAATGACAAGAACTAACCACAAAAGACTGCCACAACCATATCTTTGCACAAAGGCCACCACAACCTTACACAGAAATCCTCCCACAAGGCCGTCCACCCAGCAACCTCTGTGTTGAGTCTTGGACTCCGGCCACCCTTGTTAGTGATCCTTGTAGCCAAGGATTATTGTTTCCAAATACCTTATGCAGGCCACTTCACTTTAAGAACGTCCCTTTGCTTCAAGCCTCCTTGAAGAGCTCCTAATTCGCTCCGGCATACATACAGTGTTCGGATCCCTCCTGCAGTGTCATCTTAGCTCCCCCAATCCCTTCATCAAGAGACTCTCTGTTGTTGGGGTTCATATCCTCCGCCCTAGTCCCTGGGCATCTGCGGCTGTCCCCTATTCGTCTATTCTACAGTCTCATAAGTGGGCTCAGAGCATATGGCCCATGGCACATGCTTCCTTCATTCAACGTGATCCTGGTTGTGAGTCTCCGTGGTCCTTTTCCTCTCACTGCTGAGGCCTGGTCTGTCGTTTGGGTGTTTGTTGACTCACTCATTCACTTCCTGTGGTTGTGGGATTTGGGGAGATTACGAATAAAGCTAGTATAAACTTTTGCCTTGTGTGCCTTTGTGTGAGCAGAAGTTTTCATTTCTCTGGTATGGTAAACACAGGAAGAACTGCAGGCTCATCTCCTGAATGTGTGTTCAACTCTCTAAGAAAGTACCGGTGTATTTTCCAATGTATACTGGCTTTGCGTTGTCTTGCTTTCTGTCTTTTTTTTGGCTCTGTACCTTCTGGATCTATGAGCGGACAGAAGTACTTGCTTGTCATTTCTCACTACTAACTGGTGTCCTAGCTACTCCCCCTCCCCCACTCCTTTTGTATCCAGAGACTCACAAATGCTAAGTCCTCAACAGACTCTGAGCTATAATCCCAGCTATCTCAGCAATTTGTCATTTGCTGTCCTATATTCGCCTGTCTCTCATTCTCTTCCTCTGTGTCTCTTCTATGTTCTACATTTTCACTGTTAACCTTTTTTTTTCCTCTTTTTTGGCTTCTACCTCCATGGTTATCTTTCATGGTTTTATTTTATTTTATTTTATTTTAATTTTTTATTTTATTTTATTTATGCACACAGTGTTCTGTCTGTATGTACACCTGCAGGTCAGAAGAGGGCACCAGATCTCAGATGGTTGTGAGCCATCATGTAGTTGCTGGGAATTGAACTCAGGACATCTGGAAGAGCAGCCAGTACTTTCAACCTCTGAGCCATCTCTCCAGCCCCTATCCTTGATTCCATCTATTCCTTATTCTTTCTTTTTCATTCTCTCACATTGCATCTCCTGTCTCTGCTTTCGTGTTCTGTCTTCTCTCCAGGAGCCTCCCCTAGAACCCTCCAAGCATAATGTCAGAGAGATACCTCATGGTTTAACTGCGTGTCCTGCTGTCTGCAGGCACATTTCTGGACTGATAAGTTGGAAGAAGTCTGTGCCCTCCATGTAGCTCACCAATGATCCATTTTTACCCCTAGATAAACAATTTTCTTTTGTCAACCTCACTATTTCCATTTGTAAACGGGAAATACACATCGAGACCCAGCAGGGTCCTTGTGACTTCGTGATTACTCTGGCTTTCACAGTACTTCTTTGTTGTTGAGGCAGGGTTTTGTATGGAGACCAGATGGCTTTGATTCCTGATGTTACAGAATTAATAGGCCTTCCCGGTGAGAAATTATTCCACCACTTAGAAATCAACAATGGAAAAACTCTTTAATAATAATTGTGCAGGATTGCTTCCGGCTAATGCACAAAAGGGAACCAGTTTTGATCAGAAATCCCTTTCAACTTACATAGTTTCACGGCCCCAAGTTACACTTTTGAGCCATTAGACATGTTTTACAGAGACTGAAATTCCAAGGTTTGGCTGTTGGACAAATGGGGAGATTTCCAATGTAAAATTATTGCCAGAGCTATCACAAGACAGACCACAGCTGCTTCTCCTGGGCAGCAGTTTACCAGGGCTATCCTGCCTGGCTGGCAGAGTGCTGCTTTTCCTGACAGGGGGCACAGGGTTTAACTGGAGGCATCGGCCAGGGTTGTCTTCGCTAAACTGCCTGGCAGAGGCACGCTCCTTTAGCTGGCGTTTACTTTTGTGTAACTTGTTTTTAGAGCAAGTTTCTTTTTTCATTTCCTCTTTCAGTGTTCTTCTTGCTTCAGCCTGAGAGATGCTTGGATTAGCAGTGTCTGCCACTGTGCCTGTCTTAAACGGCACACACTTTAAAAAAGCCACCACAGTACCCAGCATGCAGCAAGTACTCAGAACAGTTACCGTGGAAGCAAATGGTATTTGCAGAGCTTATTTGAGTTTGGGCTATTTTGTGAGGACTTATGTCCTACAGAATACAAGGTAGATGCTCTAAGCGTGAAGATGGTGGCACCTAGAGCCAGTTTCGGGAAGGAAGGATGGGCTTCAGGCTCCGAGAGCTGCCTTTTCCTGTTCTGTTTTGCTGTCCTCATTTCCCGTCTCAGGGGTCAGGTGGCCCATCCCATCTACCTGGGATTGAGCCTCAGAAAACAAAAACCAACCAACCAAGCCCCTCAACGTTAATGAGAATGTTTTCGAGGCAGTGTCTCATATAGCCTTAACTGTTCTGAAACTTATTACATAGACCAGGCTGGCCTCTGACTCAGAGATCCATCTGTCTCATTGGGATTAAGGGCTTGTGCCACCGTGCCCTGCCCTCATGGATGACTCAATGTTGGGTAAAAGAATTTCTACAGCAAACAAAAATGAATGTGATAGAAGCCCAGAATACTATTTGGTTCCTTTGGAGGTAGCACTGGTCAGTTTTCCATGACTATGACAAGCACCCGAGATGATCAACTTATAAAGAGGGAACGTTGGTTTTACCCCATAGATTTGGAGTTTCAGTGCATGGCACTGTTGCTTCTAGGCCGGTGGTGAGGCAGCACGTCATGGCAGCATCGGGGCAGAGAGGATGGGGTAGAGCAAAGTCATGGTGGGCCAGGTGGCAAGAGAGAAGAATCTGTGGCCTTTGTACACCTTAAAGGGCGTAGTCCTGCTGATCTAAAGACGTGCCGCTAGGCCTTTGTCTTCAAGAGTGTCAAGTGGGGACACCTGAGCCTTTGTCAGGGCAGTGGTTCTCGGCCTTTCTAACATGACGCTACGACCCTTTAATCCCACCTCACGTGTGCTGACCCCCCACCATAAAATTATTTCTGTTGCTACTTCATAACTGTATTTTGCTGCTGTTATGAATCGTAATATAAATATCTGTGTTTTGTAGTGATCTTAGGTGAGCCCTGTAAAAGGGTCTTCCGACTCCAATAGAGGTCCAGAGTGTTGGGAACAAACAAAAGAAACTTATTCTAAGTACCACCATTTCATTTTCAGACTCCATTTCATCATAGCAAGAAACCAAGTTCAAGGTCCCAGGTCCCAGGGGAACCGGGGTCTTCCTGATAGCTGAACAGCCTCTGTTGTAAGGAGACAGTTGTCTGAGTCCAGACATCTCAAGGACAACTTCTCCATCTTGCTGGCATGATCCCAGGCCCAGGAACCTACTCATAGCCTGACTGACCCTTGACTAACCCCTTATGTCAAAATATGATTGGACACTGCTACCGCCCACCCTGCTCCCTCTCACTTTATAGTTTCATCTTTTAAATATGCTGTACAACGTCCCTTCAAGGTCATAGTTCAGCTCCCAAGTCTGTTGTGCAGCCCTGATCAGTCAGCACCATCATCTGCATGGATCTGGTGTTTGAATTATGTTGGATTTACGTGGACCCCACAACACAGACTGGCAGGTTGAGAACATGTTCTCTATCCAAACTATGGCAGGGGTAGATATTGTTAATGACCAGAAAAGGGTATAAGGGGGTTCTCTGGAAAATTCCAGCTTCCTGCAACTGGATGCGAAGGTTTCCAATCTCCCACTGGCTGGGTTGGCAGGACATTTTGGAAGACAGGACCTACCATTGGCACCCAAGATGCACACTTCCCTCTTCAGTCAGTGGGCTGATTTGCATGCTCTGTTGTGGCTCAAGAGGCTTCCCCGTGCCTGTACTACAAGCGCCCAGAGCCCAGCCCAGCAGAACCACTCTAGGACAACCTTCCTGCTTATGGCTGTGGCCTGCCCTGGTTGCCTGCTTCTCCTGATGGGAGCCTTCTTGGCAGGTAAGATACATCTGGGGGTGAGGTAAGGGTTGGCACTAGCTCGAGAAAACCCATGCAAAGAAGCATATCAGTAAGGGGCAAGGAGGTAGAGCGGAGACCTGGCTGCAGGCAGCTCTGTCCAGGACTAGGGGTCAGCCACTTTCTGTGTGGACCTTGGTTTCCCAATTTGTGGGGCTCCTTAGACTTGATCCTGCGGCGTCTCTGAGGAGAGGGCAGCCGCTCACCTTTGTTTGTTACAGAGAAAGCTGATGTGGGCAGTCACACACCCTTTAAAGTAGTCTGCTATGGCCAGCGGCTTGAAACTCAACATGGTGGTTATACATTCTGGGAGGTTTTGGCTACAGTTAGCCTGTAGCTGAGGTCTGGAAGAACTATTAGATGGAGGGGCTAGGGTCCACAGAGAAGGGGGAAGTAGGTTCTAGAAGGTCCCGGTTTCATGCTTGTATACCAGGCTCTCAACTGAAGGTGGATTCTTGGAGATAGGACAGTATGCTGATTTAGGGGGTCATTCACAGAGGAAAATGGAGTTGTAGAGAGAGTCTCAGGGAACCAGGTCCTCCATGTTCCATCCAGGGCCAGTTGCATGGCACCAGGCTGTGAACATTTTGGGAGAGTCTCTTTGTGGTCTGACAAAATTTTCACAGCAAGGCAGGGAAGGAAGGGGTCCAGGCTAGCCAGCAAGGCAGGGAAGGCTTGCCTCAGTGGGTCTGTATCTTTCAGTCTTTCAGCCAGCCCTGATGGAGCCTGATGCACTGCTGGTCTTCCCAGGCCAAGTAGCTCAGCTCAGCTGCACAATCAATTCCCAGCATGCCACCGTGGGAGACACCGGCGTATCCTGGTACCAGCAGCAGCCAGGCAGTGCGCCTCATTTTCTGTATTACCACTCCAAAGAGGAGCACTATCGGCCGGATGATGTTCCGGACAGATTCTCAGCTACCATGGACATGGCCCACAATGCCTGTGTGCTGACCATCAGCCCCGTGCAGCCGGAGGACGATGCCCATTACTTTTGTTCCATCTACTATAGCTCTGAACCCTAGGGCTGGAGTCCGGGATGAATGTCCTCCGTCTGTCTCCTCCTTCTCCTCCCTGATCTGGAATCCCCTCTTTTTCCTCCAAGTCTTAGTTTCCTTCCTCTGCAAAAATGAGTTAATAACATTCAACATGATGACCACGAGATCCTGGGTAAGAAAGTGACAAATCAAGAGGACATGGGGGTTGGGATTCTGGTGGCTGCTGAATAAAGAGGAAACACCTGAGAACAGGGCCCGGCCTTGTCCCTGTCCCCTAAGGGTTTAGCTTTGTGCCTGGCCTTCCAGTGACCCGAGGCACTGAAGGCAGAGAAAAGGGAAGTAGCGTTCGCCACCCATCAGCTCTGCATGGCCGATTGTGGTCCAACGCTCGCGGGTACCCCCGCCCCCCACAGCGTTCATGCTCGCGGCTGGGGGAGGGGCAGCCCCTGTTTCTTTCCTGAAATCTCTGGTCAAGTCCTGGCTGATCCTTGATGGTCAGAGGCAGGTGTTCTCTGAAAGGGCCCCGAGGGCCAGGGATGAGGATGTTGAAAGCAGGTAGAGGGTTAGGCAGCGTCCCTCCCCCTCAGAGACAGCGCGTTCCACTGATTTTCTGGGGGAACGCTTTCCCACAGATGGGTAACCAAACCTGTGCGGTCATGGGTCAAGGGGTGGCACAACTAACAGCAGAGCACGTCAGCTGTTAGAAGCTGAACTGAGTGGGGCCGAGCCAGTGTGGGTCACACGCCTTTCATCCCTACGCTCAGAGGCAGAGGCAGGTGGATCTCTGTGAGTTACAGGCCAGCCTGCTCTGCAATAGGGAGTTCCAGCCACCCAAGGGTAGTTACACGCTGTGAAACCTTTCCTCAAACCAAAACTAAATCCCTGGGTTAGGGGTTCCAGTTCAGAGATAGTCAATTTGCCGCGTATAAACGGCAGCCCTGGGCGCGATCCCCGGGATGGCAAAAGCAAAGAAACACACATAAAAAAAAAAAAAAAAATCCCAGACATATCCAGCTTCTTCCCTGGTTCCTCAAAGAAGTACCTAATTTCTGGAGATGGGCACCCAGAGGCCGCGACTTGGGGGTGTGGGTATGGGTGTGGGTTCAGAGCCCCAAGAGGGGCGAGCTTACACTCTTGAGACTATCTTCTGGTCCTTCACACTTTCATCGCTCTTCATCTCACTGTAGTCTTATGTGAGCTGCGGGGAAGGGCGACAGGAGGGGGCGGGGGACAGGCATGGCCAGGGTTACCTTTGAAAGAAGGATCTTGCTTCTAGCCTCAGGAAAGGTTTGGCAGTGATTTGAGGCTCTAGACTCAGTGTTTCCCCCGTGCACTCTGTCCAACGCTGGCTCCCGGCTGCGCTGCACTGCCTAGCGTGGTCTCGGATGTGCCCACAGGCGTAGGGCAGGGGGTGAGGGTGGGGGACGTCAGGAGCGAATACAGGATGCGAGGGGGTGGGGCGGGCGGTTGAGGAGTGGGGCTCCAGGCCCCTGGGCACCCTGCGCCCGGCTGGCGCCCCAGCCCTGGTCCTCCCCGCTCCGGTCTACCAGACCCACCTGTGGCTCCGCTGGCCCACGGTGTGGGTGACGCAATGGGCACCAAGTTTGTGGGGAGCTGTGTCGCTGCCTGGTTCCAGAGCTTTGGGTTTTCAGTCCCTCAAGGACTCTCGGAACATTTCAACTCTCCTTACTCAACGGCAGCTCACGGGCTCCAAACTCATTAAGGGTGGCCACTGCCAAGCCTCACTTTCTCAGTCAGCGTTACCAAATGGTCATTAGGACACGGTGGTACACGGGCATGTTTACCAACCAACTCAGAGCGTTTGTAGGGCTGTGTGTGTGTGTGTGTGTGTGTGTGTGTGTGTGTGTGTGGACCCCTAAGACCTCGGGAGGCAGAGCCAGGAGGATTTGCCAACTGGTCTCAAGGGGCAGTCTTGGGCAGGGGGTGGTTGGGCTGCTTTTAATCCCAGCGAGAGGCAGGCAGATGCAGGCGGGTCTTTGTGATTTCGAGACCATCCTGGTCTAGATAACAAGCTCCACGTCAGCCAAAGCTACGTCTGCGAGATCCTATCTCCAAAAGGCACGATTGGGCTTTTTGCGCTTGTCTCCGAGTCGGCAGCGACACCTGGTGGGGAAAGTAATCAAATTTCAGACCGTGTCTTTGACTGCAGGGAGGGAGACAGGAACCGCACGCCTCTAGGGTGTTTCTCTCTTTAAATGTGCCCGTCCTTTCTGGGAAAGATCCAACGCTTGGAGACAGCTCACAGGTCTCCCCCAGTGTTAGTTCGGAGGGATTTGGCGTCTGGGGTTGCAGTAAGGCATTATCTCCTGGAGCAACATTGCCCCCTGGCGGCGGCGGCGGCTCATCTACATCACGTATTTTGATCAACCCAACTATGACTTTTCCCTTGTTGCTGTGGTAGGCAGGGTGGTACGTCATCCAGAATCTGCGGAACACCAGCATGCCGAAGGTCAGGAATTTAGCTTCATTGGAGATGTCGAAAAAAAAAAAAGCCTCACTGAAGCTCCTAGGGCCAGAGAGACCAGGTATCCAGAACACAGCAGAAGACAGTGAGACTTTTGTTGCACAGAATGGTGCCACATTCAGGATGTACATCTGTGTCGACAAAAGACGGCGATGTTCCTAACAGATTCCAGGGAGGGTAAGTTGGACCATCACACGGGTGGGAATGAGGAATTTGGGTTCTCCTGACATCTGCACGCGCCTCATCTTTCTTCTGGAACCAGTGAGATTGGAAGCCAGAAGCATGGCCATGACTTGGGTAAATACACTGGAAAGAACCGCAAAACCCCTCAGAATTCTCAAAGAAGTATCCTGTAGGACACAGGCTGGGATGTCCAATGTAAAAAAAGGAGAGGAGACAAAATGTGAGGTAGAAGAGCAGAATTAGTTGAGAGGCGTGTTATTGGCCTTCATAATTGGAGTGTCTCTGCGGGCCACGGACACCTTAAGACCAAGTCCTGTCACTGAAGAGAAGGACAAGGTCATGCAGGTTAGAACCGTCCCCAAGGTATCGTCATAAACTAGAAATGACACAGCATTTGCCCGAAATGATTTCGCTCTAAGATGGCATACCGATTCTCTGGATATTTAACACAATCATTTAACACTGAGGTAGAGAACAAGAGAATCATGAGGATTTAGCAGGTATCTATTTAAATAGAAGATTGAAAAAGACTTATGGGGGAATGAGAACACTTGCTTTCTTACAACAATAAATAACCATTAAATTAAATTGTTGTGCTGCAATTAAATTGTAAGTTTCTTTCATAGTCTTATAAAATATATCCCGATTACAGTTTCCCTTCCCTCTATTCCAGTTCTTCCCCACCTCTCTGCCATCTGGATGCATCCCATTTCTGGAGGAGAGACTATCTCACTACAGACTTCCTGGTGTTCTGGCTTTTACAATCTTAATATATTTTTTAAAGATTTATTTATTCTGTGTACAGTGTTGTGCCTGCAAGACATCTGCACGCCAGAAGAGGGCACCAGATCTCATTATAGATGGTCGTGAGCCACCATGCGGTTCCTGGGAATTGAACTCAGGACCTTTGGAAGGGCAGCCAGTGTTCTTAACCCCGAAGCCATCTCTACAGCCCACAATCTTAATATATATGACAGTGAACATGATTTATTGCACTGCTTGCTTTTTTTCCTTCCTTTTTTTCCCCCAAAGACTAATTTCTCCAAACTACAACCCAGCTTGCAAATCAGACAGAAACGGATTTACAGTCTAGTGAAGTGGATGAGGCAAAGGAGAAGAGCTTTAAAAGTTTCCAATAAGATATTGCAGCAGAAATGACTATATCCACCCAAAATTCAAGAGACACAAAACAACGAGCCCTTTCACACATGGGGGAAACACTAAGGATGAAAACAGGAAGACTAGTTGTGGCGAGATCTCATACTTCTTAAGAGTCAATCCTAATGTAAATTTAACACACTTGTATGCTAGGTGATAGGTAATTCTCGTTATCAGCTTGACTGCACCTGGAGTCAACTAACCCTCAAGCAGCTGGGCATCCCTGTAAGGGATTATTTTTGACTGGATCATCTGAGTTGGGGAAACCCGTCTAAATGTGGATCTTTTCAGGAGGGAAGACTGGTCCTAAAGCTAAGTCATAACTTTCGATGGTAGCCTACAAAAAACGACACGGAGAAAGGAAACGTTTGCTCTTTGCCAGCTTGCTCTCTCTGTCCCTGGCAATTTCATTTATGCTGCTGCCGAGGCATTCCTTCACTGGGATTAGAGCCTACCTCTTTGGGATTCCAGCATATACTGGAGATCAGCTGAGGCATCCAGCCTCGTGGACTGAGCAACAATCAGGTTCTTGGAATGTCCACTGGGAGAAAGCCATTGCTGGACTAGACAGAACTCAGCCTGTAAGCCACCCGAATACCCCTTTTAATATGTGTGTAGATTTGCTCCATAAAATCTGTTCCTCTAGGGAACCCTGACTCATAAAATGAGTCTATTTATGGTCCCTGGCACTTTCTAAAAAGAGGTTTTTTTTTTTTTTTTTTTTTTTTATGGAGGCAAAGAACTTACACTTTGCTTCTGTGTTGGTTGGTTTTTGTCAGCTTGATACACACTGGAGTTATCTTGGAATCTCCATCTCTCTAGGTGGCCAAGGGTGAGCTTGAATTTCTGATCATTTTGCCTCCACCTCCCCGAGTGCTGGAATGGTACCTGTGCGCTCAGACATCAGGTTAATGAGGCGTGGGGGACTGAACCAAGGCTTTGTGCTCGCTGAGCAAGCACCCTGTCAGCAAGCCACAGCTTAGCTTCACTTCCGTATTACTTTTGTTGGGCGGTGCTGAACTAACCAATGAAATTCTGCCTAGGATTCTGAAACAACAGCTTTCTGGTTGCCTTGAAAATAAAATGCCAGCTGGGCCTGATGGTGCACTTGGGGAAGCTGAGGTGGGTGGATCTCTGTGAGTTCGAGGCCAGCCTGGTTTACAAAGTGAGTCCAGACCAGCACAAGGCTACAGCACAGAGAACTCCTATCTTGAAAAAAAAAAAAGTCCAGAATGGTATACCCCGTTCTGTGTCTCTCCCCACACCTTGTCAAAGATCAGACTATTCAACTACTGTGAGAAATGAGAGATTGATGTATGTAAAATGCATAGAAAGGGGTCTGGCTCCCAACAATAGCCTTAGACATTCTTGGAGTCATTATTATTACTGATAATTACTGATAAAGATTTACTAAGTC